AGTCTTTTGGAGGAACTGGATTACTTTGCTCAATCCATCTCAAAGATTGTAGTTTGGGTTAAAAACAGTGTTTGTTACATAAAATAATGAATTTTGTTACATGTGGCGTTAGTTTCGTAAGTTACATAACAAAAGTAAAGTTAAACAAATCTACGTTGTTTCACATAGGACACGAGCAGTAGTCTTGTGTTTGTTTGAAGTCCTGTGTTTGACCCTTCAATCCTCCATACATAGATGTTCTTCCTCTTTATACTACCTCACCTGACTTCCTGAGCAGCAGCCCTGCCCGTCCTGCCTCACAACTACTATTACAGTGCATTACTTTTCAGAAGTTGAAGTACGAACAGCGAATCAGAACAGCCTGGCCTATGGCAATATGGAGCATACAGCCGTCATTGTTATGCAAATCATACTTAAGCAAGCTGTATCTAACATGTAAAATAAAAATGTAATGACAAGTGACTTTAAGAGCCTAAATTAATTTACTTCTCTTTGCCTCTAAAGTCTAAACCATACATTTGAACTGCAGTGTGGTTACAAATCAAGTACAAATTGATCTCATGATGGGAAAACCTCTGGAATTATGGTTGATTATGGTACAGTTGATTCCACTGGCACATCAAAATATCCCTAAAAGTTGTTCAGAAGGTCTTGTTGCAAAGGGCATAGCACATGGGTTTGATTGTGCTGTTAACATAACACAACCAGTAGCCCAGTGCCCAAAGAGTTTCTGGAATACAGTCCTGACAGAAAGTGTTGACCAACACCATGCTATTGGTGCACACTAACTCTAGCTGTTAAAGTCATTTTAATCTTGAAGCCACTTGATGGCGCTATTGTACCATTAATACAGTGACACGCTGATCCAGAGCTGGAGTTGAGTAACACATGTCAGAATCTTGGTATCTTTAAAAAATAGTTTCAGCAATCACAGATAAATATATCAAAGGTTATGTTTTATTTTATTGCTCTTCAACTCATATATTCATGTGAACATCAATTAAAAAAGAAAATTGGGTACAGAGTTGAGTTGCACATATTCATTAAAATTGCCCTGTGGGGTTACATTTTGTGTTTCTCACCCCAACATGTGTGTATCTTTGAACTTCAACACAGATGCCCATTGCACTTCCTTCTTCATAAAACATTTGTAAAGCCAATTTTCAAAGTAATTGTTTCTTACTAGCTACTACTGTTATTACTATGTGTACTAGCTTGCAGTCTTCTTCTTCCCGGACTTCGTTGGCACATTTCAGCATATCTTGACTCTTGAATAGTTCTATTGGTAGAACTGTGTCTTTGTGGAAGTGCAGGACATAAACGAAACAGGGACCCACTCGTAAAAATACAGCTCCATAGCACTACTTGAGGTCAAAAACTCCACAGGGAACCTTTAACACAGGAATAAACACACAAGTCCAAAGTCTTTACTCGTTTTTAAAACCATGTATATATTCTTTCACAGCAATATGTGACTTAAAAAGGATTGAGTGGTCTGTAGTGTTTGATGTCATCTGGCAAAACAAGGCACATGAGTGTAGTTAGTTAGTGTGTAAGAAAGTACTTGGGAGCTTTTAATTCAATGAAACTGAAAGGACTCCCTTTTCCTCGACAATGTAAAACTGTGGATAGATTTGTGAATCTAAGAAAATCAAACTAACTAAAAATTGAGAATGCACTTTAGTTGTATGGGAACGGAATTATTGTAGGAGAGGGTTGAAGGGTTGAATCAGGGTTGCTTTAAAGAAACAAAAACTGATTTTACTTATTTAGTCCAAAGACTCACCTTGAACACAGCTAGCGCAGAATAAATCTTGTTTATATAGTCATAGTTAATTCAAAGTTGACCATCATGATGTGTAATTCATAATGCCATGTCCCTTTTGTAGACTACATAATACGTTTAACAGTGTTTTGAGCAGTGGTGGGCCGTCAGGGCCAGCTAAGCCTTCTCTGCTGGCCTAAACACAATCACAAAGTCATAGCTATTTTATAATTTAATAATTTTTCACAAATACAATACATGTGTTTTTTTTCCCATTAGCTTATTTTCTCATTTCACATTGTCTTTCTCTGTTGCTCTGCTTCCAGCCTGCAGCGCTGCTTCCAGCACAGCTTGTTTTAAGGAGAGCTTTTATCCAATCAGATTCAGCCCCTATGTCTCTATGTAAGGAGAGAGGCCCGATGCCCTCTAGGTAGACTTTGCAGTTTAAGTGAATGGGGACGATATTGTTGATTGTCATAGCCTTCAACCGATCAGATCTTTAGTTTGACATGTTGGGCGTATTCTTTGACGTGCCACTGCTACCCAGGTAGCCTGCTAAGTACGTCTGCATTAACGTGCGCTGTGATTGGTCAGTGGGCCAGCGTGACTTTTGTCAAACAGAAAGCTAGCTAGCAGATCTTAGTGTTTACTAAGAGTTCAGCTTGAAACATATGTAAGAGAAGTTTTTTAACACTCAATGGCTGAAAGAGGAGGAGAAATGGATTTGGGAGTTACTGACTTTGTTAACAAAGAAAGGAGGATGGACTTTGTCTTTAAGTGAACAGCAGCTGTGGTAAGTGAAGTGCTTTTGTGTTTTTACGTCTGCAGTAGTGTTACTACTGTGTTCATTTGTCTATCATGTTGTTCTTATGAATAATATGAATAATGTGAATAATATGAATAATATGAATAATGTGAATAATATGAATGGCTCGTGCTCTAGCGCTGCAGCGTTGCTGGATTGAGTTGTTGCTTTGTTGTCATATGAACTGTTGGGAATAACAGCCTCAAAAAGGGGGCACCATTATGTTGGGAACGTAAAGGAGCGCGTTTGGGTTATCAGCATCTAAGAAACTAAATTCTTGACATCAATAGAATTATTAATGTCAGTAACAATTATTAATGATTATTAATAACGGGGCACCACCCTGCAAACAGGGACCAATAACCAAATGATAAACTAAGTCTCATAATTAGTGTTCACTCACAATGTCAACACTCTGAGTACTATCACACATTCAGAGTGAAAGTGAAGGTTTAAGTTTGAGCACAGACCACATATACAGCTATTATCACAATACATGCCCAAAGTAATCACAGACAGCTGCTCTTTAAAATATAACAGAGTTTATTACGTTCTAATGCTAATGATCTAGTCAACTAATATCTAAACTAACAACAGCTATACATTCATGAGCACGCTATCTAAAATCAACAGACGATTGAAAAGGGGGGGGGGGAGTGTGTGTGTACATATGGTGTGTGTGTGTGTGTGT